TACACCAGGTGGAAAGAAATACAAACATTAATTTTCAGAAGTTTAAAGCCCCTGAACATTGTAATCTCAGTGTTCACAAATCTCCAAATCACTGAGTGCCTGATCATTCATTCTTTATAGTACAAGCTGGTAAGCCATGTAAGCACATTAAGTTTCTAATTATCTGATGTTAGAGACTCCAGAGATATAACTCAGTAACTAGAAGTTATCACTTTTCATCTAAATATATGTAGTATGCTTATACTCTTTAAATAATAAATACTATTCAGAAAATTGAATTGGTTTCAGATTGATCTCTTCAGAAGCAATTGAGCTCCCATTCTCCACCAGAAAGAATAATGATACAATTAGACATTCCTGATAGGACATCCCCTAAACTTGTAAATGAAAATGTAAGAGCATCCAGATTTTTTTAAGTCTTACTACACATGGAACATTGTGATTCAGCCAGCCAAGTACCATTTTCAGAAATGACTTAGCTCCAAATGCCAAAAGTATGATGACATATCATCTTCGCTGATTTCAGTGAAATACATTTTAGGATTTTTCCCACGGAGTTTGGCACAGGTGTGTACAGATATGTAAAAAAGAATATGTTACATATATATAAAGCCATAATTCCAGCTTTAGTGACATGTAGAAACCCAGAATGGTGCAGAAGTTCTCATCATTACAACTTTTGTCTAAAAAATTCTATCTGTGGCAGTATTTAAAATAATAATTTACTACTACATGCACTGACCAGTTTCAGGTTTTTTGCACAATGTGGAGTCCAAACTATTTTCTCTGTAGTAATTGAAAGCCAGAAAAAAGATATTTGTTAATGTGACGTGTACTAACACTGTACAAGCTGGCAGAAACCTCAGTGAAATTTCAAAAAGCTGATCTAAGCATACGATTCAAGACAACACTCTAATTGCAGTATGTAGTTTACTTCTCCAAACATCTCTTTAATACTTATTTTTACAATTGCCTAAGTGTTATACAGGATATATTAAAGCAAACATTCAGAAAAAAATGTACAAGCATGTGTGTGGCTCATATGCATATGCTAGTTGCATTAAAATTGACAGAACTGAGCACAAATGACAGCACTGAGCTGGAATCCACAAATAAACTTTACCTGTACAAGCAATTCCACTCTATTTGACCCTGACATAATGGTTTATAAACTGATATTTTATATATGGGCAACAGCTCATATGTTTTTCCTCAATGTTTGGACCTATTTTGGCCTAGATAAATTAACATTCTGGAAAGGAAAACTTCCATTCCATTCCCACCTGTCCTTTCCAGCATGCTTAAAAAACACCAAATTATTCATATACACAAAAGGAAGACTAGTTAAACCAAATTGAAGACGATTTGATTATAAAAAACAGATTTTGGTATGTGCTTGAGTGCAAAAAACCCTGTACATTTATTTAACAATTGTGTAAACCAAATGTAAATGGCTTGCTTAAAGTGCTCTACAGCTTAGACTTTATAGACCAAGTTTATCCCTAAATAAATACCCAAAAAATCCCCAAAAGCTTACAATGCTAACACTAACAACCTTATGGACCAAGGTGCTAGTAGACACTGTTATACTGTATTACTCATTAATTATTAAGAGAGTCAGACTCTGATCTCACTTGCAGTTAATGCAGATTTACATTGACATAACTGAGAGCAGGATCCATCTCCTGATATACACCATTCTCAAATGATATAAAGGAGCTGTGAAAACAGAAGCTACCTTTTGTATAAATATGTCATAAATAAAATATGTATAGATACAAATATTAGCTACAACCGCAGCTAATGGTCTAATATTTCAGCTCTTGCTTCAATAATACTTGCTAAAAACACACCTTAAGTGAGCAGAGTAAATCTTAACAGTGCTGTAACTAGTATGCACCCCAGAAACAATTTATGCACATTTTGAATCCTTTAGTAGAACTTTAGAAGTGAAAGTAGGTAGAATCTTTTGATGCAAAAAATAAATAAATAAATAAAAATTATTAAATAGCCAATGCCTGGTACAAATGCTTCATATTAAGTTATTTTTATACATTTGTTTAGAAAAACACACTAAATATTTCTACTTTCATTGTCTAAAAATAAGGACCGGATTATGCATATCCTTATGTTTTTAAAGAAGGCAATGTTAATTACCATCAAGCCGCTAGAGTAGACCCATTAGTGCCCATTCCCACAGCCCTCACACAGGCCAAATGCCATTTCAGGGCTAATCACAGCTCCTGGTGGATGACCTCCTACAAATGACCAAGAGGCCCATGGCACAAGTTGCATTTTCTCAAAAAAAAAACAAAAAAACAAAAAAAACCTTTTTTTTTCTGAAGTTTATAACCTGCAGGTTTACTAATGTATCAGTCAGATTTCACACTTTTTAAAAAGAGCTACATATACAAATGTGGATGCTTATCTGTTAAGCCATAATTTGTTACAAAAAATGCACAAACTGTGAAATATTAGGAAAATACTCTTGCAAATAAACTATATAAAGATAAAATACACTTCAAAGATAGTTTTTATGTTATTCTATAAAGTGCAGAGAAATCCTTCTAAAAAGGGAAATGACTACTTCCTATAACAACAGTATAATTACAGCAGCCTTTGCATAGCATTATTTATAGAAAATTGAATACTTTCAGTTTCTTCAAGAAGAAAAGGATGGAAGAGTCTCTTCCAGTTCAGATCTTTCCTTTGATACTGATCTATTTTCTTCAGGAATGGCTGATGATACCAGATCTCCATTGACAGCACTTCTAGAACAGTGAGCAGATCCTATGAAGATATCAATAAGTACTTAATTTTCAACCCCCCAAAACCTCATCCAATCTGTCAGTTATTCTATTTGCTAACTATTTCCTATATATAAACAATCAGTAGCATAATTACTCTCGACTTTTCCTGAAAGATTTCAATATCATGCCCAAGGACAGTTTAACATGAAGAATGTTTAGTTTGTATAAATCAACTTTTCTTTTTCTTTTTTTACACAATGATTTTTTACATTATGAAGGACAGTAATCTGTGAGGTGCAGACATATTCTGGAGGAGGAACACAAACTTTTTTTTTAAGGAACTGATGCATCCATAAGCATTTAATTAAAACATTTTCTATAACTACAATTAAATGGATGACTCGCAAGTTGAGTACTACTGGGCTACCTGACAGGAAAGAGAAAGAACTAAGAGAACTGGAAGGTAGCAGAGGGAGCTTCTAACACAGTAAAGGAAAATCAAACAAACAAGCAAACAAAAAAAACCAGAGAAACTGAGCTAGAAACTAGAAGTATGTACTAAGCAACCAAAAAAGCCAGGTATTAGCAAAACCACATAAGACAGACTCTTCTCAGCAGTGCTGAAAAAAGTCAGATTGGGTGACCAACACCAGAAGGTCCAGATGGTGACAACAAAAGCCTTGCGTTATAGGAAGCTATACTGATGTGCACCTACACTAGTGATGAGACACAGAAAAGGATCTAAACTAAGTTTATTGGCTTTGGATACATGCCAGCATACCCTATGCTGGTAGCAGATGAGTGAGGTGAAAAAGGTGGTCACCATGGAACATGTGAGCACCAGAGAACCAAGGAAACGGTGCAGAGCTGCGAATACTTGCTTTATGGTAGCACATAAAGCATTAGTAGTACCTCTTTGTGCTCACACAGGCTTTCAGCAATGCACAGGCCTCAGGTTTTTTCAACACAACTGAGGCACTCCAAAAGGAAGCAAGACTAAACCAGAACTAGTCAAGAAGAACCAGTCAAGTTAAAATCTCCCTGAGAGGAGTTAGGACGGAGTCAAAATGACAGCAAGAATCAAAAGGAAAAACCCCAGAAGAAGTGGCTACTAACTCATTAGGCCCATCTAACCACGAGGGAATAACATTCTGATCATGACAGCATTTAATAATTTTTGGGTTGCTTTTATTTATTACTGGCAAGGCTGCACTCTTTCAGAACAGTGCTGTTCTCTACAAAAGGCAAAAAGCCACTGAATTGAAACATCTTTCTGCAATGCACTGGGTGGATTACCCTCTACCACTCACAGGTGTCAAAGAAAAAAGAATTTGTTTTCTGACAACAAGCAGGTGGCAAACAACAGTATTCCACACCACTTACCACACATCAGTCATGTAAGATTCTATTAGTATAAACATTCATTTTCTCGTTATGTTTCTATTTTATCATGCCAGTAGTCTCACCAATTTCAATACAACTACTCCAGCTCTAAGATCTTTTTCAATATGAATGAAAGCCAGCAAAAGTCAGACACATAACAAACTACACAAGTGCTTTGGGATAAATATGGGAATCCCACAACCAAAACTTTGAGTAACTAAGAAAACATCTTTCCACGTGCTGATATAAGCACTGGAACAGTTGCTGTAAATGAGGTAAAAAATTGTACAGAAAGATACAAAAGAAAACCACCCCTCTTCCAAACTTACTCTGAGAATCTTCAAAGGGAGTATCACTGCAAGATTCTGTGTCCGAGTATGTCCTTCTGCGCCGCTGTGAAAATCGGTGAAGGGATGAAATTGGTTCTTTTACAGAGTGATTATTCCTACAAAAGAAATGAGACATGCAAGTAAGCAAAATCTGTAACAACCCACACAAACTTAATATACTTTAAAATAATTTTGAAGCTTAGATGAAACTGTTAGTATCAATGTTTTCGGCTATACTAAACTAAAAACAGCACAGTCAACAGAACATTCTTAATTTTCACAATTACAAAGCTGGAAAATGGAAATAAAAATGTAATATAATATTTGCATGTAGAAGAAAATAATTTGAGAATCTGAAATACTGACCCAAAAAACATGCTAGGGTTTCAAGCTCTATGTCTAATTTCATGAACTTGTCAGAATAAGTCACCTGCATAGTTTCTAGCATGAAGAAATATTACAGTGTATTAGGACAGCAGCTGCATTATTTGCCACAGACAATGATAATCTGCACCCTTAGTTTTCAAAATTAGATCGATTTATGCTGTTTATCTTTTTTTTCCCCAAGTGAACAATTCTCACTTTTTTATTTTAATGCTAGCAGGTTCAGGAAGGTTTTTTGAGACATAAGAAAAATCTTAATGAAATAGAAAATTACCTTTCTGAATAGCAAGGACCAGGGTGGCTAATGGAACGCTTCATCTAGGGGAAAAAAACAAAACAAAACAAAACAAAACAAACAAACAAAAAAACCCAAACAAACAAAAAATCACACCAAAAATGTCACAAACTAGTTGTAATAATAATACTCATTTCTACATTACTTTTTACTTTATTTACAGTCTCTACAAAGAGGGAGGGCAATCTTTAATTAAAAGCAACCATTGTTAGTTAAAAATCTGATTTAACTATATTAAAACAGATGGATTGTCATCAATATTAAAAGTTTCAAAGCATTCACACAGGAAATAGTTTACTACAAAAAAAATACTACCTAGCTTCTATGGAATTAATTCTCTCTTGCTCAGAAGTTACTCATAGAGCCATTTGTTAATTGTTATGATATACAGATATATCACAATGTTTTTTCCTCTACCAAATGCCATCTTAAAATCCCCATTACATAATAAAGCCAAATCCTGCCTCTTGATTCCTTGTGGTGGTTCTGATATCACTGTCAAATCTCTATGCACCAAAGAAAGTTATTAATTTAAATCAATAACGATCATCTTTGTAAGTAAATTGATTGAAGATAAAGTGACAAGAGATCCAAGTGCAAAGAAAGGGATTCCCACAATACAGTTCATCTTGGAATCTATACATATGATTGAGAAGACATTTAAGATAATTCCACATATACTGTCCTTCCAAGGGAAATAATCAGCACTGAAGCGTTATGCAAGTAATATCTTTATCATTATTTACCTTTTGTTAAATAAGGGCATGTCAGGTTAATACAAACATTTTGAATTATATACACTGAAAGATACGCTATCTTGCTGAAGTGCTTCAAGCCACAGGGCACTTATCTGTTTAACAGGAGGCAAGGTTATGAAATGTTTAAGATCAGTGTACAGCTAGCATTCTAAAAAACAAAGAAACAGTTGACCCAAGCAAAGGGTAAACCTAATTAATTTATGAGATACCTCATTACAGAGTCTTGACATATATGATAAATTACTCCAATTATGTCAAGGCCAGCAAACAAGGACTGGGAAAGGAAAATTACTGATTTATATTTAGGACCAGTCCTGATCATAACAGAGCCAAGATTTCAACTGTTGACATCATAACACATAGCAATAGCATAGTCCTCTGCCATTCCTCCCCCAATCCAACCAACAATACAACACTTAGAAAAAAATAGTATTTCAAAATGTCTAAACCATTTGGAGAGGTGATGGTGACACAGGAGAAACTAAGGGATCAGGGTGAGGCAGCTGGAACATTTCTGGCTTAAACTTGGCATTAGCGATTTTCACACATTCTTCAAGTGTTGTGATAAATGTATTACATGTGGCACTAAGCAAGGAAGAGGCTTCATTCATATTCTGAAAATAAATGAAAGCACAAGCATAAGCAAGAAAAAAAATTAAAACATGCAAATACAATTCTCCCCCACCACCACTCCCACACACACTGCTTTCCCTCCTTACCACTAAGAACTTCCATTTCCAGTTTTATTTAATCAAATGTACACCTTCCAATTAGGTTAATTTAAGGAAACAGATGTGACACTATTGTATTTTCTTTCTGACACCTGAATTTCTTCAGGGTACCAGCCAACAATGCCATAATGTTTTTACTGCAAAGCTTGTCTCAGAGTGACTAACTGGTATCAGAAGATCAGTGAAACAAATGAATTGGAGCAGAATGTGCAAACACCTTCATCGCTCCAGTGGAGGACCTTGCAGGTCAGTTTCACCTTGCTGTAAACTGGCAGCAATTTGCTGTGTTGTGACTAAGCCTCAACCCCTTGCTTTGCCCTAAGCGGACAACAATATTGTCCACATGCTGCTCAAGAGCATAAAGAATTAAGCCATTCATATTTCCAGTACTAACTTTCATTCAAAAGCAGAAATACTAGAATAATTTGACTTGTGCATATTCAGAGTGACTTCTCTACACCACAGGCTTCCAATACCTGTAACACTAGCTTGCTCTAATAACAAAATGGAATACCCTCCTACACAAGGAAGTAAAGAATGGACAAACAAGATTGTTTCAACTACTCTGCCCGTAACAGAGAAGCAAACAAGACAAATAATTGCCTAACTCATATGGCAACTCTTCTGTCCTTTTAAGCAAATGACTCAATACAACAATTGCTTCCTAATGAATGTTACAATTACAGTTAAATCATCCAGGCACTTTATGCATATATAATCACTGTCAGCATTATAGACACACAAGCACTCAAAAATCTACCTTGGGTTAAGTCTCCCAACATCAGGGAGATGAAAAAGGCATACAATGTCAACAGAAACTTGAGATGCACTATATAATTATAATTAGGTTTTCCAATGGCATTCTCGAAATTCTGTACCTCAATGCTGGGAGGAGAGCGAGTCTCATCATGGTGAACAAATTCTTGTATTGTATGAACTTGCTGCATTAAAAGATCACAGTAGAGACGAAGTTCAGACATTTTGGTTTTAAGAGATTCATTGGTCTCACTTATTTCTATAAAAAATAAAGGAAATACCAATTTATTGCATACAATGTATGCACACATTTTAAACACTTCATTTAAATTTAAATATTAATTTAAAAATTCATTTAAACTTTCACTTTATTTTGAGGAAAACTGGATTCTGCAATGAGTCAGGGACTGTACTTGAAGCACACAATAGTTTGTATTTTTGGATAACTGATCTTAACTTAATGACCCTTAAGAAAGAGGCACATTACAAATAAAGATAAAGCTTTCTCTTAGCTGAAACGTAATGTAGAAAAAATTTAGTGGATCAAATTTACACCCACCAGAGTGGCTGGAAATGGTTACACTAAGCCACCCAAGAAAAATTATGGAAAAACCGACATAACTATAAAGAATTAAAACAGCAGAAATGAAATGGCTTCACAACAGCTACAAAGAGTATGTTTGTTCTTCTAATGGCAATAAGTTGCTGCTATTTCAGCTTCTTAAGATAGAAGAGGTCAATGGAGGTGCCCTCTAATTCAAACATTAAGGGGAAATTTACCATATAGGTGACGAGAAATAATTACGATTTATATTTAAAGACAATAATACTGACTTTCTACCACAACATTTGCACTATCATTATCTGAAAACAAGCATTCGAAAAAGTAGTAAGATTGTATATGCTCTAGGTAACACACATACCTTTTTCTTTTTTCGTTCTGGTATCTGCTAAACAGGCTTTTGCACTCCCCAGTGCTACCAGCCACCTTTGCCTTTCAGCGGCATTAACTGCTTTCATATAGAAATGCTGTTCCCCTGGGATGATTAGCTCCATTCTTGTGTTGTCTGTTGCATGAACTTATGATAGAGGAGAAAAAAACAATTTGGAAAAAAAAATAACCTTGACTCAGTAACAATTGTTTATTAAATAGCAATCAAGGTATTTTAAAATGTTTTTTACAATCCCATAGTAACACAGTAAGTCACAATGTACCACTGCCAAACAACAAAAAGCCCAAAGCTCCTCAGCCCTCCTCCCCAGCATGCCTTCAAGTACACAAGTAGGAACACGAAGCACCAAACAGTGGCTAGACTCAAGTACAATGGGGTTCCCTTTCTGCATTAACACTATTCTTTGTATGAATCTGTAATAACTGTTGTATTCCAAACTTGATCTAAACATGGCAAACTAAATAGTTCTGTTGCAAGGACAAGTATTTACACAGGACTAGGCTAAAAACTGAAAAAAATTCCCTTCTAGACAAAATCTCGTTTCAGGTCACAAGAGTCCAAGATCCAAGAACCAAGGTGGACATTGTTTACAGTGTATTATATTCTGTACTATATCTTTAAATGAATATACTGCTGAGTTTCATGTTATCAACCACAGTTCCTCCATACCCTCTCCCCACTAGCCATGGATGCAGGAGACTGCATCAAATCCAGACTTAAAAGTACAAGGTGATAAGCAAAACAAACAACTGGAATGGCCAAAATATGGGATCTTCCACTTCACATCACTAATTTAATCTACACCAAGGAAACGGTAACAAAAAGGAGTTACCACATGAAAAATACTTGGTGGCCCATGTAAAATAAGAAGTCCCACTTTTTAATATGCAAGTACCCACATCAGAAGCCCACTCACCTCTGGGTAGTTGGAAAGAGGTCAAGAGTTGAAAGCAATACAGAGTTAGACAATGCCTTGCCCTTAGCCAAGGAGGTTGACCAACAGCTTAGAATACACTAAAGGCTAAACTCACAGTCTGACAAACAGTTCACTTGCTAACACTAATACATCCATCATCTATGCACATGGGCAGCTGCTAATAGCGACAAAAGTAAAAATGACTCAGGAAAAAAAAAAAGACTAAACTTCTCTGGTTTATAAGAACCTCCCCTTTTGGGTCACTGCTGCTGCTCTTCTGAAAAACTAGCATTTATGAATCAGTCTTTTACCCCTGGTCATAAGAGGAATAAGCAGTAGAACTCAATACGTAGCTTCAAGCATAAGCCACATCCACACAACTATTTAAAACAAAAAGGAGTATATGGTGGGCTCTAAATCTTAAAACAGAGTTCTAACTGTCAAAAACATTTTTCTTTGTCACCATTTCATAATTCACATTCATTATTATTAGTGAACTATAAAGCAGTCACATTGGACTATAGATAAACAAAAATAGACGAGGAAAAACTTGTGATGCAAAACGTATGTTAGGCGATCTTTTCTATTTCCCTGGAAGCTAAAATTTCCTCAAGCAGAAATCTATTAACTCTTACCTTTGATTTCACACACAGCCATCTTTATACTTCCTTTGCTTCCTTTGCAAACATCATCCTGTGAATCATAGTATGACAATATCCCATTGTCTAATACAAACCACCGAGGCTGCCAACCTAGCAAGATCAAAAACATGAAAAGGAAAGTTTAGTCTAATTACTGGATTGCAAATCAAATTCAGCTCTTTGGCTGTTAAAACTTTTATAAAAAATGCAAACATTAGACTATTCATGTAACACACCAGGAAGTAAACAATCTGCACAGTCAGAAGACCAGAGCTGCTCTATAACCAAACTACTATCATACAGATATTTCATTCCCATTCTTTCTGTAAGCAAGATCAGCATGTATTTCAGATTTCACTATATTCCATTCTAGAGCAAAATTAAATTTTAGTTTATCCATCAAGGAATCTTATTTTGAAGGTTGATAAATTCAATACCTCCAAAGAACCATTCTCATTCAAGTATATTTTTCAGGCAGACCTTCCTCAGATTGTAGGTTCTTATTTGCAAGACAAAAACAGACTACTGATATCACAAACTGCTATGCTATAGTCTCCTCCTCTGCCTACAGTATTTCAGTGAAAACTTCCATATTTCACACTTAACTATTGACACACCTTTTTCTCTGAAAACTGCCCAGCTCTACCACTCAACAACTTAATGTCAGGCATTGTGCAGGGAATTGAGACATGGCTTGTATTCCTAGGTCCTTTTGTGAGGACAGCATACACCAGCTCCTCTACAAAGGTTTTCACCAGCTTTGCATTAGCAAAATTATATAATGACCTCTGACTTCACTACATCTACAAAACAGAGTAGTTCATCCATAGATGCAAATACCTGTGAGAACTCTATGCAGCATTACACCACATAGTAAATTATTGTCATGGGCCCTCTTAGATTATAGTATATTAGCATCCCAAGTTGTTGTTTTTTTCTTTTTTTCTTTTTCCTTTTTCCTATTTCATAAAACTCAACACTCATTGGAATAGGTGCCCTAATTTCTACTACTACTAAATGCAAGCCATTTTGCCTAGTAAATCACCTTTGTTTCTAAAAACAACACAGAACAAAAATATTCTTGCAGAGCATAACAATAACACTAGCCCATTATAGTTTGGGTCAGCTGTACAATAGGAGTGGATTATCCCTCTATTTTACAACTCAACACCAAACTTTAACTTCTTACTTGGCTTAGGGTTTGGAATGGTAATAACTGCACGGCCAAGAACTAAACATATTTGGTGATATGATGGTGTGGTCCAAGGTACTTACCAACTGCCATTCCAACAGAGCAAGCTGTAGCCATCCTGCTGCAGTGTATTAAAACACAGGAGGCTTAATCAGGTACTAGACTCTTGAAAATCAGCTAAAGGCTTCCTACTACTCATATTAAGTCATTACAAGTTTTAACACTAATTCAGGAAGTGTAAGACCAGGCCCCATTACATCATGTCACAATTCCATCATAAGGAAATAATAACATGTAAGTACTTTTTAAATTTATTAGGTGTAATGGTAAGCATCTGTGTCTTTCAAAATGCAGAGTGGTAACTAATAAGCAGATTCACACTCAGATATAAAAACAGAATTTTAGAAAGTACAAACATTGAGGGATACCAGCTCCCACAGGAAATATTTCAAATTGTATGTGTACATGACCACTTATACTCAAAGAATATGCAGTCACGAAATGACTGTACTGAAGACCCTGTCCTGTAAAATGCAGCTCAGAAATGCACTGTTTTTTTTTTTTTCCTGCTGCACTGTGTTGCACAACATTGACTCTGGGCTGCCCTTATCTCCTACTTGCAGGCAAAAGTGGTAAGTCAATGCCTATCTCAACAGTCTGATTCTGATAAAAAGGGGCCTCACATGGATGATTATTCCAGCCTCATATTATGCTGGTATTGGAAAAAAAAAAACAGAAGGAAAGGATTTAAAAGATTCCAAATGCCTCACTGGGCAATCAGTGTCCTGTGTTGGACAAAACATTTACCAAATTTGTACTTCACAAATTCTTAGATGCACACATATTATTTGAGGTGGAAAAAAAAAAAGCACCTGTGTTTCTGGTTTCCTTTCAATGAAGGAAGAAACTGTTTTCCCCTATGCTTCAGCAACAATAACAAGCTCTTCTGCTCCTTGGTTTCTACCATTAACGACAAGTAGTACAGCCTATTTCCGGCTGCAAGAATAGATAATAGAGTAACAAGAAAGTTGGCAATAACACTAATACTATTTTTTTTTTTTTAGATCTGCTGCCCTCCTATATTCCAGGAATTGTAGGGAATTCCTGATGCACTGTAATTATGAAATGCAAAAGCAGATGCTCTCAGTTGGCCAGCACACACGGAAGGAAGGGTTCGGCAGTTTGTTATTTTAGAAGGCTACTGACTTTTAGCAGAAGTTAGCTGCATACTGATATAAGTCTATTTTGTATACAGCATTCACAGTTACTGCTGAATATTCAGTTATTAAATAACATACTTCAAATAGGAAGTTTATATCAAACACCCCAAGGGCTCATTACTTGTGACCTTTTATCTTTGCTACAGTAAGATTTTTGGTCACATAAGTGAAACTGACAATTTCCGTTCTATTTCAAAAAGAAACTGGTACTCTCTTCTTTCATAACCTCAATTTTTCCTATATGTGTCTTCTTTACATTTATTGTGAAGAAGTGACAAAAATAACTTATCAAATATCTATTTAATTACAGTACAACTGTTCTCTTTCACCAGAAGTCTAATATACATGGACACATATTTGCTCTGAAAAATGCAGGATTATGCTCTGCACACTTCAATTCACAGCAAGCGCACACAATCCTTGCAATGTGGCTCACGTTTTATAAACCCTCAGAATTGAGTTTCACACCACTCCACACTCAAAATCTGAATATGCTGAAGCAGAACAGCACACACGAAGTGCCAAAGAACAAGTGAGTAAGGAAGATATTGCCAAAGCCGCCAAACACAAGGCCTGACTGAGCATGGCATGTGATCCAACACTGATCTGCTCTGGAGGGACAATCAGTCCTGTGACAGTGTCAGAAGAGAAAGCTGTTTCACCTTGACAGGACTGTCTGTCCACTGCTACCTCCAGAGGGAGGTGGTATGTCTATTACAACGGAGGATGGAGCAAACAAAAGCAGAGCTTTGAGGGCAAATGCAGGTATTTGGTGCAATTCTGTCTGCAACACTTCTAAAAATACATTTTACAAATACTTCACCCAGAACTGAAGTTTTTATGTTTTACAGGTTTGGACATAGGACTCAAAAAACTACCATTCAAAAGCAAATTAAGAGAATTCTGACTTTTTCATTTAGCACTTAAGATTTAAAGATGCAATCTTAAATTATTCCTCACCTGTAAGCAAGGATACCCTGCAAGTTTGTATGTATGCTGCAAACCAAAGCTCTTTCTGAGAGGCAGCAGAGGTGGAGGGTAAACCTCACAGCGGGGCCGCTGGCATAAGACACTTCAGACGGCGTTTCCCTGCAGCCCGTCCTGTTCAGAGTCCCTGACTGACTCGCCAAGGCGCAGTCCAGCTCTCCAGAGATAGGTGGCCACCCCGATGCCAGCGGAAGACCACGGGGGCCAGGCACACCTCGGTGCCAGGCTGCGGGGCCGCGCGGGAAGCGCGGAGGGGCCGGGCC